GAGTCACTATGATTATGGTTTTGTGGTATTTGATGAGATGAAATTTGACAGGAATGATTGAGCATGCTCGTATACATCCCAAGTTTCTTCATTCGAATGCTACTTCACACAAATGGGCTTTTGGAGGTAAGCTAAGTAATAGAGAAGAAAGAAGACGTTAACATTATGATGGATTTATCTCTCTTTGCTCGCTTCCTCAGTGGTGTAGAATGAAAATTTTGTGTATTGTATTGCAGCAATCGCAGAGCTACTTGATAATGCTGTTGACGAGGTATGCAAGATTGAGGGAAAGGCTTCTCTTTTAGTCATTTTGAGTGAATGGGTTTCTTATGTATGTTAATTGATTCTTCCTCAGATACAAAATGGTGCCACTTTTGTTAAGATTGATAAGATCAGTATTGTCAAAGATAATTCACCAGCTTTAGTATTCCAAGGTAACATTGCCTTTGATTGAATGCGTGATGGCTTTGCCTAACCGTGGCTTAGAGTGATTTTAGTGACACGGTCTTTCTTTTCTTTTTTCACTTGAAGATGATGGCGGCGGGATGGATCCCAATGGGATCAGAAAATGCATGAGCTTAGGCTACTCATCAAAGAAGTCTAATACGACGATTGGACAGTGTGAGTTTTATAATTTGTTAATAGGACTTTGAGCTTCTTAGGTGGTTATTAAAAGTCATGTCTCTAACCATAAGCCCACCTTTATGTGCAGATGGAAATGGTTTCAAGACAAGTACTATGAGACTTGGAGCTGATGCCATTGTTTTTAGTCGCTCAACTCGTGAAGGGTATTGATATATCTGGTACATATACACTCTGAATTTGGCGCATGCTCTTGTTTTTAACTTTATTTTTATCTTCTCTGTTTTAGCAAATCTACCCAGAGCGTCGGCCTTCTGTCTTACACGTTCCTTAGGAAAACTGGTCAGGATGATGTGATTGTTCCCATGGTAAAGTCTTCAGCATATGTAACTTTTTGTTTTCATGCCTGAAATATATGTTGCGGTACAATGTTTGGAAACTCAAGAATGTGAAATTACTGTCTGATCTCAAGTGATGTTATCATATCTGCAATGCAGATTGATCTTGATTTAACCCATGGTCGTCTCGAACCTATAATTTATGGATCTCCCGAAGATTGGTCTACCAGCCTTAACATTCTTCTCAAATGGTCTCCATTTTCAACAGAAGATGAGCTTTTGCAGCAGGTTGTCCTTCTATAAGACTCTGGTTCCGCATGTAATTTTAATGTGGTCTGTTTATTGATTCGTTTATTTCCATTTCCCACCCACCAGTTCGAGGATATTGGCACGCATGGAACAAAAGTAATTATATACAACTTGTGGCTTAATGATGAAGGAATCTATGAGCTGAGTTTTGATGATGATGATAAGGTACTTACACATTCGTGAAGGGTCAGGTCTTTTGCAGTAGTTGGGTTTTTACAGTTTTTAATATTGGTATAATAGGACATACGGCTCCGAGATGAAAATGCCCAGGACGGGAAACGGGTGATAGCTAAAACATTAGAACTAAGATCTCATATTTCATACCGCTTACGACATTCTCTTCGGGTAATTCTCCTGAATAACTTCAAGTTTTTTTTTACTGTTGCAAGGATGTTCAAAGGCTGACTCTGTTATTTTCTTTATCCTCAAGGCTTACGCTTCCATGTTATACCTCAAAAACTTCAAAAACTTCAAAATTATTCTTCGGGGAATCCCTGTGGAGCAATTCAACATTGCTGATGAATTGAGACATCCCGAGAGTATAATGTACAAGCCCCATACAGCTACAATGGAACAAGTAATACAGACTGAACTTCCTCTTTTTCTTTCTCTCTACTCGCTGGTTTTATACATGGAACTTCGGCTGTATTTTCAGATGCAAACATCATTCTATATTTTAATGTTTAGACTGTGAGAGCAAAAGCCACTAAGCTTTCTTATCACAGGCTGCCACTGAAATTAAAGTTGGATTCATCAAGGAGGCACCAAAACTTCCAATTATCGGTTTTAATGTCTATCACAAAAACCGTCTCATCAAGGTAAGTTTTTATATAAGAGTTAATTCCATGTTCTAGATAATCTTTAGTCCATAGAAGCAACTGTTGTAAGTTTGTTAGCGTCTTTAGTCCTTAAACTTCCGCCTTTGTATTAAGTGAGATCTCATTCACCATTGCAGCCTTTCTGGCAAGTCCTTGTGGAAACTTCATCGAGAGGCAGTGGTGTTGTCGGTATAGTGATTCATTCTCCTTCACGATTCCATTGAATATGATATTGTTTGAACCATTGCAGCTGGAGTAGACACTCACTCATTGAGCAAACTCTGTTTTTCAGGAGTTCTTGAAGCAAACTTCATAGAACCAGCGCACGATAAGCAAGGATTTGAGAGGTCTTCTCTATATCTGCGGCTGGAAGCGAGGTTGAAGAAGATCATCATAGATTACTGGTCTCGTCTTCCTCTTTAAACCTTTTCCAATTATCTCTTGTTATTTCGTCGATATGATTTTGGTTCCAAACCGCAATATCTTTGTTTGATGATTCCTTTCTTCTTGCAATGGAAAAAAACAGGTGGGGCCACTGCCACGTTTTTGGATACCGAACTCCTGAAATGCCTGTAGATAGGTCGAAAAGGGTAGTATTACCTGATCAACCTCCTGCAATCAATACATTCAATCCTTCACCTTTGCCTTCTGATAGAATTAGTCAAGGTGGTCCGATAATACGTGAAATCAGTCATGGTAATGGCACTTCAAGCCGTACAGTTGCTGTTGCACCGCCACATATGAGAAATTCCACGGGTTTAAGATGTAACTTCCAACCCGTGCAGCTCAACCCTCCACCTGCAGCTACCGTAAGTGAGATTCATTTGATGATTCAGTTTTATCCACAACTTTGATTGAAACTAAGTGAGAAAAATCTTCCTAGGGTACTGGAAACAACCTCGGTGGCAAGTCAGCGGATGAGATAAGACAAGAGAACTTACAACTCTTCATGAAGTAAATATATTTACTCTTTAACATGAAAAACAAAAAAAATCATTTCAGATTCATTTCTCTCTCGGATTCTCAATCATTTTAGATGTGTTCCTTCTTCAACAGGTGCGAGGAAAATATAAAGAAAGAGAACGAAATGGAACATATGGTAAGTTTGATTCCGCGGTATTAACATCTGTTTGTTACATTGGTTCTAAGTTCTAACATGGATTTAAATGGATAATGAAATAGGTAAGGAACTTAGAGAAGGAACTAGAAGAAGCTAAAAGTAAATGTGCAAAACTTTCTCTGCTTGTGGATGCTAAGAAGAAGGAAATGCAACAAGCTTAAGTTAAATCGTTAAGTCTCTCTGCAATCTAAAGAACCTTTAATTTGATTCAGATTTTACGATGTTCTTCCATTTGCTGTATAATGTACATATGTAGTGTATTATACATTTCTGAGAGATGGGCTTATAACTTATTTGGGCTTTTTGGCCCAAAATTAGGCTCTAATGATCTACACCACAAAAGCAAACCAATGATATCAGAGAACACGCTTTGCTGTTTTTATACTTGGTCTCTAATACAAAGACGACGCGTTGTTTCACTGGGAAATAGTAAAACGTCAAGCTGTTTTTATCCTTTATAGAAAGCAGGTAGCTTCTGGTCAACGCGAATTCGAATACGTGTGTGTGTGACGCTTCGAGTGCTCGTCTCGATTTCCTCATCGGAAAATGCGTCGGAACGGGAAAAATGCAGTCGCCGACGTCGTAAATCCTGACAGCGACGACGACGAAGACGCAGGAAGAGGAGTATTTCGGAGCTTGGCGTCTTTATTGGAGGAGAATTGGAAAGTTCCAAGCACGATCGCTGATGCGAATGTGGCTGATCGAGAAACCCTAGAATGCCGGAGCTTCTGGAAAGCCGGCGAAAACTTTGTGATCCCGAAAGCTGTTACTCCGACTGCTTCAGGTTAGCTCTCTCCTCTCTCTGTCGCACACACATGCATCACGATTATGGGTTTTGTGGTATTTGATTAAGATGAAATTTGATAGGTATGCTTCTTGAGCATGCTCGTATACATCCCAAGTTTCTTCACTCGAATGCTACTTCACACAAATGGGCTTTTGGAGGTAAGCATTGGAGCGATGAATTAGATAGATTTGTGATTTTTTTTACTACAGAGCTTCCTCGGAGGTGTAGAATGAAGAATCTCTGATGATCTTTGTATTGTATTGCAGCAATAGCCGAGTTACTTGACAATGCGGTTGATGAGGTATGCATGAGGAGTGGAAATGCTTATCTTTGGTTCTTTTTTTGATGATCTTTGTCATTTTTTTGCTCATTGCGAGTGAATTGTTTCTTATAGCGTTGATACAGTGTTTGGTTATGTTGATTTGCTTTTTTCTCAGATACAAAACGGTGCTACGTTTGTTAAGATCGATAAGATCAATATAGTTAAAGATAACTCACCAGCATTAGTTTTCCAAGGTACATTGCCTTTGAATGAATTTGTGATGATTTTGTCTAATTGAGGCCTTGGATGTTGTTAATGACATGATCTTTCTTTTCTTTTTTACTTGAAGATGATGGTGGTGGGATGGATCCCGATGGGATCAGAAAATGCATGAGCTTAGGCTACTCATCAAAGAAGTCTAATACAACAATTGGACAGTGTAATTCTTTATTCTATACTCTGTTGATAGGATATTGAGCTCGTTTCTAGTTTGTGTGGTATTGCTTTCTTGGTCTCTAACCAGAGTTTCACCTTTTGTGTTAGATGGAAATGGTTTCAAGACAAGTACTATGAGACTTGGGGCTGATGCCATTGTTTTTAGTCGCTCAACTCGTTCAGGGTATTATTTATATATCTAGAACATATAAACGCTGAACTTTGGCGTATGCGTTTGGTTTAAGATTTTTATCTTCTCTGTTTTAGCAAATCTACTCAGAGCGTCGGCCTTCTGTCTTACACGTTCCTAAGAAGAACTGGTCAGGATGATGTCATTGTTCCCATGGTAAACTCTTCAGCATTTGTAGAATTTGTGTCATGCCTTTGAAATAATTATTTCTTGGAAACTCTAGAACGTGCAACTATTCTTTGTTCTCAAGTG